GTTGTTGTTGTTGTTGTTGTTGTTGAACATTATTCCTTCTAAAGAATTATTATTGTTGGGACCCCTGGTGCGCGACCTCTGCGCCGCGCCTAGGCCGCAGCTACATTTTCATCATTTTTCGCGAAAGCTTCAGAAAAGTGGATTGTGTCCGGATCCGGTTTTTTGTTGACGCTCGTTTTCCCTTGCAAAAAACAATAGAAAATGAAAATTCTTGTTCTTACTTGATCAAATTGCAAGAATCCCTTGCAAAAAAATAAGGTAAAGTGGACATTCGTGCGCGCAAGACGAAATCCTTCCAAAACATTAGGTTTCGTAGCGATTTTAACATAAAAACATCAAAAACCCAATGGTTTTTTAAGAAAAAATTGTCAAAATGTCCTTCCGCGCGCGCTGTCCGAATCCCACAAAACCAATGGTTTTTTCAACATTTATGTTACATGAGCTCGCGCGAGCTACTTTTTCTTGTTCTAACATAATCAAATTTCAATAATCCCTTGCAAAAAATAAGGTAAGTGGACATTCGCGCGCGCAAGACGAAATCCTTCCAGAACCTTAGGTTTCGTAACGATTTCAACATAAAAACATCAAAAACCCAATGGTTTTTCAAAAAAAAATGTCCAACTTTCATCCCGCGCGCGCTGTCCGACTCCCACAAAACCAATGGTTTTTCAACATTTATGTTACATGAGCTCGCGCGAGCTACTTTGTCTTGTTCTAACATAATCAAATTTCAATACTCCCTTGCAAAAAAAAGTAAAGTGGACATTCGCGCGCGCAAGACCAACAAAAAACACGACGATCTCAGGAACTTACCCCAAAACTGTGACCAACTCCGCTCTCTCTGTCTCTCTCTCTGTCTGCTCTCTGTCTCTCTCTCTGTCTGTCTGTGTCATGTATTGATGTCACAATTGCAGGATGCTGGGCACACGCGCGCCCCGAATAAGTGACCAAGTTCTGTGGGTGTGTACCCCACGCCAGTGTAGTAGCCACGGTCGTCCGCACGCCACGAAGTGAAGTGTCCCAACTTCATAGGGCGGGAAGCTGGGTTTGGGTGGTCGCGAAGAGTCGTTTGGATATTTGGTAGAGCTTGAACTGCCCCCCCACGAAGTGGGGGTATTGTCTCGCGTCGCATGAAAACCCTGGCACTGGTGAGAACACTGAGCGTTCGGGTAAAATGATTGTTGTTGTTGTTGTTGTTGTTGTTGTTGAATTCTCATTTCCGAAGAATAAGTATGGTTGATCCCCCCACCGGTGCATATGGTTTTTTCTCAATCAAAGTGTGCCCCTCGACGCTCGCATCCTGTTTTTTACAAGGAAAGTCTTGATGCTCAAACTGGGCCCCTGGCCCCCGGGTTACAACAACAACAGCTCCCGCCTGAGACGTCCTTACAATTCAGCCAGGACCCCCGCTCTCGCCCGAGACCTCCTCGCATTTTATTTAGGAATCGCGCTCTCGCTTGGGATTTCTTTACAATTGATTCAGGAATCGCTCTCCTGGCGCTGCTCTGGAGTCGCGCTCTCGCTGGAGACTTGCTTGCAACTTACTGAAGAATGGCCTTGCGTTGGAATTCCATGCAATTTGCCCAAGCGCCGCGCTCCCGACACCCAGGCACCCAGGAGTCGCACCCGTTGTGGCCCCAGGCAGCTGTAATAGCCAGTCAGTTAGAGTGTCTGGGGTGTTTTGGGGTGTGTGGCTAGGGTGTGTCTGGGGTGTGTCAGGGGTTTGTCTGGCCCGCGGGTCCCTGGCCTCTTCTGCTGGAACGGCTTGCTTCGCCGCTGGCGCGTGCTTGAGAGTTTTCCGTTGCGCGCGCGCGGGGCGTGCATGCCCTTCGTGGCCCCGCTGTCGCCGTTTGTGTCCCCCTCACTGTCCTACGCGGCCCAGTTGCTACCCTCAGTGGCCCCATAGTTGCCTTCTGTGCCCCCGCATTATCTGCACCTCGTGGCCCCCGCTCGTTCGCGCTCTTCGTGGCCCCATACGCATTCCCTTCGTGTCCCCGCTGTCGCCCTTCGTGGCCTACTTCGTGCCCTTCGTGGCCCTGCTGTCGTTCTCTCTCTCGCTCTCGCTTTCGCTCGTCTTCGCCGTCGTCGTCGTCGTCGTCGTCGCCGTCGTCTTCGACGTCGTCGTCGTCGCCGTCGTCGTCGTCGTCGTCGTCGTCGTCGTGGTCGGTCCCCTGACCGTCCCTCTTGGGGTCGGGTCGACGGTCCGCGGCCGCCCCGCCGATCAGCGCTGCCGCTGGCCAGGCCGACGGTCCGCGGCCGCCCCGCCGCTTGCCGGGGCCTGGCCTGCAGGGAAGAAAGGTATACCCCCCAAAAGGGTTTCGATCGAAGACGAAGAGGGCGAGTATCGAGGGTCTGGGAAATACGCGTTATTGGGCACTCGAGCATATAAGGGCGAACAGTCTTAAAATGATTGTTGTTGTTGATGTTGATGTTGTTGTTGTTGTTGCTGGTGTTATTGTTGTTGTTGTTGTTGTTGTTGTTGTTGTTGTTGTTGTTGTTGTTGTTGTTGTTGTTGTTGTTGTTGTTGTTGTTGTCGTTGTGGTTGTGGTTGTGGTTGTGGTTGTGGTTGTTGTTGTTGTTGTTGTTGTTGTTGTGGTTGTTGTTGTTGTTCCGCTGTGGACTTCGGGCGTTGTTGTGCGAGAGGCAAGCTGGTGAACAAGGTTGGTGCATCTGCGCCTGAACCCGAGATCTTGATGGAGGATGTCCAGAATAGTTTTACAGTGGAAACATCACGACGTCCTCGTCGGAGCAGCAATCGGCTCGTAGGAGAACGAGGAAGCTGGGAAAAGGAGGGTCTGAGAAGAGGCTACGGAAGGAAGGGACGAGGTGGACAAGGCAAAAGGAGGAGGAGGAGGAGGAGGAGGAGGAGGACGATCGATAAATAGGTAGCGCATGAAATAAGGAGGAGGGGTATAATGATAATGGGGAGGGGGAAGAGGAGAAGGCGGAGGACGATGACCAGTGCAAACTCAAGACCCATTAACGATATTGTAAAAGCAACTCCCTCCAAGTTCCTTCCTCACAGGCCCCTACACATATTCATTCTCACTGAAGGAAGTGTCCCGTTGGAAGACAACCGTTTGAAAGTCATGAGCTGTGTCAGAACACCATTTCTGCGACTTCAGCGCCGCGAATCACCATTACTACTTACGCGGGCCGAACGATGTTCTCCTTGAGCCCGAGATATCGGAAGCGCCGTGCATCCGAATTCCTGCGAGTTCAGGCGATTTGTGTCTCAATTTATTCCAGCTGAACACATGCATCCACATGCCTTTCACATACGGAATTGGGATCCGCGCAGCAGAAAAGCATAATCCACGGAACTGCTACACACCCAGAAGGGATCCAAGTGAATTCATGTTTTAGTTCCAGAGGAACAAGCGCTCGGCCTGAGGATGTATTGCGTGTTGACGGTTTTGAATCGCGGCAGAACGCCACTCCTGGGACTTCACCACCGCGAATCAGCGTAACGGTTACGCCCTGGCAGTCCGACATCGTGCCAAAACGCCGTTTCTGATACCTTAGCCATGAGCATTCTTGAATTCGCTGTGAACTCTTAAGACACACTCTCGCGGTGCCAAGGCGAGAACCGCATTTTGAAAAGGAGACGCCCTTCATCCGTGAAGCTCTGGCACATGTTTGAAGCGAGCGTGGGCGGCGCTGCGGCGAGAGCCGCATGCCGAAAAGGAGCCGCCCTCCCCCCGCAAAGCCCCGGCAGCTGTTTATAAACTCATGTCGCGCGGCGCTCGGGCGCGAGCCATATTTTGAAAGCCCCCCGTCGGTAAAACCCTTGCGACTGTTCAGCGAGAGGGTCGTGTGCGGTGAGGGAGTCTCGGGCGAAGCGCCCGGCCCGCCCTGCCGACGCGCCTCGAGGTGCGACGGGGAGGCTCTCTTATTTGGGAGAGGTCTGGGGGCCAGGACGAGGACAACCAGGAGGAGGATGTGGAGGAGGAGGAGGAGGAGGATCCCACTGGGCTTCCCCCTCCCAAACGTATATGTTTCCCCTTTCCGTCTCGACCTGCACCTCCGCTTCCCTTCATCTTCTCCTTCCCGTCCCGCTTCCTCTTCCACATTGCCTGTTCCTTTCCCTTCCTCTTCCTCGACATAGCCCTGCCGTTCAGTGTCAGTGCCGTCACCTTGTTCCTTCTCTTCCCCCGCTACGTTTGTCCCCCCTGCAATATCTTTTCCCTTCTCCCCCCACCCCCCAGCAGAAGGGCCTCTCCCTAACCTCCCTTCCCTTTCCCTCTCCTCCGACGCTGCAGTTTTTCCCCACGCCGCCGGCCCGAGGGGGATCTCGAGCGCTTCCCTGGAGCTGGCTGCTAGCCAGGGCCTTGAGCCGTTGCTTGACGGCCCCAGGGCTGGAAAACCGCCCTCGGAGGCCGAGAGCGACGAAAACAGGCCGCCGCGTTTTTGGGGGGAACGCCTGGATCTGAGGGTTCCCCACCCGCCGCCGCCCCCCGGCGGGAGGAGTTGGCGGCACGCACCGGGGGGGGGGGGGGGGGCACGAGGGGGACGGCCCTCCACGACGGCAGGGGGCCCTCCTGGGAGGCAGGGGCCTTCTCAGAAGCGCCCAGAGGCTTCTGAGAAGCCTGCTCAGAAGCCTCCTGCTCAGGAGCCTCCTGGCGCTTGAAGTAGGCCCCTGCCTCACGGTCAGAAGCTGCTGCTTGGCGTGTCGCGGAACCAGTTCTGGCCCACCACGCTTCGGCGCGACACGCTAACCACTTCCCAGTCCCCAGGCGTCAACGTCCCGAGCTTTGCCCAGCCTGACGCCCTGCGGAGCGGAGCGACACGCTATCACGCGATTCCGCTTGCAGGGCACAGTGAGTCACCAGGGCCTCCGCCGCGACACGCTGAGCAACACTCCCCGACCGTAAGCCCCCCCCCGCCTTCTACAGAAGGCCCCCCCTCTTCGCGCCACCCCCTCGCGCGGGCCTCCGAGGGAGGGCCGCGAGGCCATCGATCAGCCGCCTTCGGAGGAGGCCCCTGCCTTCCGGGAAGCTCCCCTGTCCTCCACGGACCCCGCCCCTTCGCGCCCCCCCCCTCCCCCGGGTGCGCGCCGCCGGGAGAGGGCCGCGAGGCCATCGACCAGCTGGCCAACCGGGGCAGCCCCCGCGCGATCGACGCGGCCGTGGCCCGGCTGGAGCACGTCGACGCCGGCGTGCGGGCGGCGGCGGTTCAGGCGCCGCCCTGGGCGAGGAGGGGGCGGGCGGGAGGGAGGAGGGACAGAGGACGGAGCAGCGAGGGCGGAGGGCGGAGGGCGGAGGAGGGCGAGGGGGACGAGGAGGACGGAGCGCGGAGGCGGATGGCAACGAGGTGGAGGAGGAGGAGGAGGAGGAGGAGGAGGAGGAGGAGGAGAGGAAAAGGAGTCGAAGGTTGAAGGAGGAGGCCAGGGGGAGGAGGGGCGCCGGCTCGGGACTCCGGGCCCGCGGTCTGGCGAGAGTGGGGCCGCCCCACGGCCTGCTGGAAGTGGGGGTAGAGGCGGGGGGGGGGGGCGGCTCCTGGCCTTATCCCAGGCGCCGCCGCCTCGGGAAGGGGGGGGGGGGAGGGGCAGGGCGACGGGGGGGGCGGAGCAGGGCCGAGGGAGCGGGGCGGGGCGGATGTGGGAGGGCGGAGCAGGGCGGGAGGGCGGGAGGAGGAGGAGGAGGAGGAGGAGGAGGAGAACGGAGGGCGGAGGAGGGCTGCAACAAGTTGGAGGAGGAGGAGGAGGAGCAGGAGGAGGAGGAGGAGGAGGAGGAGGAGGAGGGGGAGGAGGGGGAGGAGAAGGAGGTGCAAACTTAGCAGAACGATGGTAAGGAAGATGAAACTTCTCTTCTGCTGAACGAAAAGGGTAGAGGTAACGCAGGTCGTGCCGCGGTAACGCTGATCTAAATACTTGAGCCATCGATTGCAGGATTTGGGGGTCCCCAACTCAGCTCCCCCCTCAGAAGCCGGCAAATCGCTTCTTGGGGCTCTCTTGGAGCGCTCTTGGGCGCTCTTGGAGCGGTCCTGGGGCCGCTTGGAGCATCTTGGGAGCCATCTTGAGCGAGCTTGGGCTATCTGAGCCATCTTGGAGGTCATCTTGGGCTCTGAGACCGCTCGGGGGCCTCTTGGGGCTCTTGGGACCCTCTTGGGGCCCTCTTGGGGCTCTCTTGCGAGCCCTGGAGCGCCTCTTGGGGCCATCTTCGAGGCTATCGATCAAAGGAGGGACTCACCCGATCGAGGTCCCCCCCTCGGGGGAAACGATCCTCGTGAGGGGTGTCAAACAGTGGCCCTCCCAGGGGCCGATCTTGGACGCTCCAACCGATCGCGGCCCCTCCCGTCCAGGTCCAGGGGAGGGGGTCCCTCCCCGAAGGGGGAGAAGGGTTTTTGGAAGAGGAAAGACAGTCATCGTTAGACCACCTGCCCCCGGAGGGCTGGTGGGATTCCTTATCTTCCAGTGGGCCCGCATAGCCCTTGAGCACCTCATCAAGCTCAGGAGCGACGCAGATCTGCCCCTAGATTTCTTACGGCAAGAATTATTATCGCACGTGCTTGCTGTAGCCACGGCGTCGGAGGTCTGGGTGCTGCAGCATGTTGCCTGCCTTCAGTCGGGCCTGTCCCCCTGCAGGGGGATTTTGGACGACAAATTTAAGATACCCCGCAAAATACTCCCAAATGGTCAACAAGGGCGGAAACAATCGTCCCCATACTATTTTTTTTTTTAATACTATTTTTGAATATTCCCCCTGTACAGGGACAGGCCCGATTTAATGCCTGCCTCGCGCTGCGCTCGACCTGGCCCACTGGCGGGGGGGCGACGGGCCGCGCGGGCGTCCCAGGCCCGGAGGTGCACGGGCCGATGCTCCTCGGGCACCTCGGGCCCTCCTCCTCCTCCTCCTCCTCCTCCTCCTCCTCCTCCTCCTCCTCCTCCTCCTCCTCCTCCTCCTCCTCCTCCTCCTCCTCCTCCTCCTCCTCCTCCAGAAGCGGCAGCGGGAGCGGCAGCAGATGAAGCAGGAGAGATGGTGCCAGTGGGGCTGCATGGTTGTACAGAATCAGGAGCTAATGCCCCAGACGCGGGCTGCCTTCCAACGTCTAGTGTGAGGCGGACCAGCTGCAGGACTCCTTTCATGCTACGGGCCAGGAGCAGGAGAGATGGTGGATGGAGGGAGAGGGGGAACAATGGCGCTGCCGACCGAGATGTGGGAGGCGAAGCTGGAACTCGACGTCATCCCCCTGGCGTCATCACCCTGGGGCGGCGAGCAGCTACAGCGGGCTCTGGAGACGTTCGGCCGCGGAGGCGGGGGCGGAACAGGTGAAGAAACGCGCGTCTGAAGTGTTGGCCCAGCCCTCCGAGGAACAGAAGCTGAGGATGAATATGAGGATGATGAGGATGCTGACGCTGGTGCTGCTGTTGTTGTTGATGATGATGGTGATAATGGTGGTGGTGATGATGACGGCGATGCTGATGATGACGGTTATGATGGTGAGGATGATGGAGATGATGCTGCTGATGATGGTGATGATGATGATGATGGTGCTGGTGCTGATGGTGGTGATGATGGTGGTGGTGACGTTATTGATGGTGGTGGTGGTGGTGACGGTGATGTTGCTGCTGCTGATGATTTAGATGCTGATGCAGAACCAGGCGGTGAGGCTGATGTTGATGATGCTGATGTTGGTGCTCGTGCGGGCGATGGTGACAGCTGATGGTGATCGTGATGGTGATGGTGATCACGATGATTGTTCTGATGGTGATGGTGGTGATGGTGGCGATCGTGGTGGTGATTGTGGATCTGATGATTGTGAGTGCGGCGATGGTGGTGATGAGGATGATGAAGACGTTGATGCTGATGCTGACGATGCTGCTGATGCTACTGATTCTACTGCTGATGGTGATGATGATGCTGAGGGCGACGATGGTAATGATGCTGATGATGATGGTAGTGGTGGTGGCGGTGATGGCGATGGTGATGGTGGTGGTGATGACGGAGATGACGATGAGGTGGCGATGGTGATGATGATGGTGGTGATGATGCTGTTGCTGATGGTGCTGATGATGATGCTGACAATGATGGTGGCGGTGGTGCTGATGATGACGATGCTGATGATGATGATGATGATGATGATGATGGTGATGGCGAAGATTGTGATGATGATGGTGATGGTGATAGTGGTGGTGGTGATGAGGCTGATGATGATTCTTTGGTAGGCCGATTTTTCATTTTTACTTTTTGTGTGTGTGCGCGTGTGTGTGTGTGTGTGTGCGTGTGTGTGTGTGTGTGTGTGTGTGTGTGTGTGTGTGTGTGTGTGTGTGTGCGTGTATGTGTGTGTGTGTGTGAGCTATCGCGGTGGCCGCCCTCGCCTGCGCGCAGGCGGTGGCCAACGTCGTGGGCTGCGACGACGTAGGTTCCGCGGCCTGCCGCGCCGCCGCCGCACTGGCTCGCACGCCGTGCGTCGCCGCCCTCACGCCACGGCGTGGTCAAGAGGACCCAGCACCGGAGGAGGAGGAGGAGGAGGCGGAGGAGGTGGAAGTGGAGGGGGAGGAGGAGGAGGAGGAGGAGGATGTCTCGTGCGCTCTAGGAGCCACGGCCCGGAATTCATGCTCAGCGTGGCGCGGCGGCGGCCTCGGCGCCACGCTGTGCCCTGCGAGCCGATCCATGTCGTTCTCCGCGCCGCGGGGCGGGAGGCCGGGAGAAGCTTGTGACGCGAACGCCTAGTGTTAACTCGGGCTTGTCCCTCTACATGAGGAATATTCAAATATAGTCCAACAAATAGTCTGGGGACAATTGTTTGACCATTTTTGCATATATGTTGGGTATGTTTTGGCACACTATTTTCGTCCAAAATCCCGTCTGTAGGGGGACAGGCCCGACTTAAGCCTAAAAATCACATGAGCGTGTCGCGTCGAAGCGTGGTTTGCGAGAGCCAGCGGAGCGACGCGCTAAGCGGAAGTTCCCGACCAGATGCGCCCCCACCCGAAGCGGGGTTCATCTTAAGTCGGGCCTGTCCCTTTACAGGAGGAGTATTCAAAAATAGTAAGAAAATCATCAGGGGACGATTTGTTTGAAACCATTTTTGAGCATGCGGGGGTATGGTTTGACATGTTCTATTTTTCGTCGAAAATCGGCCTGAAAATCGGCCTGTAGGGGGACACGCCCGACCTATGGTTAATCCGCTTAACCATTCGGCAGCTCTGAAGCCCTTAGCGAGGCACGTCCTCTTCGCAGGAGCGCTGATTGAAGTAACCATGTGGTGCCCGAGCAGAGACACCAAGCTGTTCGCCAGTCATAAGCACGTCCGTCCTCAGAGATTGTTTCGCATGTTTCGCCCACCTGTTTATTTCCCATATGAGGGAGGGGCTGTCAGCGGAACGCCATGTATGAAAGAGCGACAATGTACATTGGGGTCATGAGGACAAATTCGAGGCGAAGGAGGAGGAGGAGGAGGACGACGACGAGGATGAAGGAACGCACACGTCATAACCCCTTGCGGTTTGAGAATGCTTGTCCCTCACGAGGGTTCGTACATTGGGTGCTGGTTGGGGGCTGTGGATGTATAGAGATAGGCACTTGGATGCTTACACCTGCTTCTCTTTCCATTTACATCGATGTCGCTGTCTCCATCCCGGTCGCTTTCTCTGGAATGGGGCAGGCGCTAAGACAGTTGCGTCGTTCTGAGCTGGGAACATGACCGGCGCTGGTTCGAGACAGCCGTTCTGAGCCGGGACTAACGCGAGAGCACCAAACAGCGGGGCTGGCTTTGACACGAGAGCACCATTTCAAAGAAATGTGGTCGACGTCCATGAAACGCCTTAGTGAGCCAGACTTGCAGCTGAAGCGAAGGCGATGGAACCAGCCTGAGCCAAATCATGGCCTGCGCGGAAGCAATCCAACGTATCCTGGATAGGGCGAGGGTTGGATCGTTGCATTCGCCCCTCAGGTGTTCTTTAGGTGTCCAAGAGCAGCGCAGCCCTTTGTGCCACAATCTCTCCCGTCGGCGAGATCGGGGAATGTGTGTTGAGAACAGATCGTTCTCTCGTAGGAGAGGGCAGAGGGAACTTTTACGTAGGAGGTGAATGCAGAGGGGGAGGAGGGCGACTGCGAGAGTGAGGAAAAGGATGAGGAGGAAAGCAACGTCCAGAACGAAGAAGATGGAGACAACGGCAGCGGGGTCTCTGGCGTGTGACTGTGGCAGCGGCGGCGGTGACGACGACGAAGGCGACGCCGATTACGTCACGAAGCGTGGCCGCTGCGGACAATTCCGTACACAGTTGCATCGCGAAGCATTGCTGCCTCTGAGCCCATTGTGGCAGGCGCATGTCGCAATCGGTACTTGTTGTATTTTGAGAGGCATTACCGTTGCCCTCTGCGGACAGGGTCGGAGGCTGAGGCGGAGGAAGAGGAAGAGGATGAAGAGGAGGAGGAGGAGGAGGAGGAGGTGGAGGACGAGGACGATGACGAAGACGATAACGAGGAGGTGGAGAAATAGGAGGAGGAGGAGGAGCAGCAGGAAGAAGAGGAGGAAGCGGAGGAGAGGTGGAGGGGGAGGACGAGGAGGAGAAGGAGGAGGAGGAGGGAGAGGAGGCGGAGGAGGACGAGGAGGTGGAGAGATAAAAGGAGGAGGCGGAGGAGGACGAGGAGTAGGAGAAAGAGAATGAGTGTGTAGAGAAGGAGGAGGACGACGCGGAGAGGCAGGAGGAGGAGGAGGAGGAGGAGGAGGAGGAGGAGAAGGAAGAGGAGGAGGATGAGGAGGAGGAGGAGGAGGATTGTGTAGAAAAGGGGAGGAGGAGCAAGACGAGGTGGATTTAAATGAATAGTGATAAGAAAATGATAGCGGTAAGCACGCACATGGATGAGCAACAGTAAATGCAGTCGGAGGTGGACGCGATTGAACGTGGGCAGGAGGAGTAGGAGGAGGAGGAGGGGACGAAAGCGAAGGAATAGGACGACGAGCAGGTGAAGGAGAACGATAAGAATAAGAAGGCGATTGCTCAAATGCATAAGAAGAAAACGAACAAGCAGAAGAAGCAGAGTCAGAAGAAGATTATGAAGAAGCTACGTCGTAATAAGACGGAGGCAGGGCATGAGGTACCCACGGTGTCTGCGGCGTGAGTTGCCGCAGGCGCCGCCACGGCCTGGGTGGTGCTGACGCCGCGGCTCCTGGATGCGCGCCGCTCAGCGGCAGGGCCGAGGCCGCGGCGTGCTGGCAGCCGCGAGAGCTGGCGCGGACGCGGCCTCCCGCGGCCTCCCCGGGGCCTCTCGCCGGCAGCCTCCCGGGGCTCCCCACGAGGTCGGCCGCTCCGACTCCGCCCCCGCCTGCGGGGCGGGGGGCGCGCGCGCGCGAGGCTCCGGCCGACGGCGGGCGCGGGCGCGCCCCCCGGAGGTCGAGGCCGCTCGAGCGGTGGGTGGGGGGGGGGCCCCGCTGGACCGCGGCGCGGCCCAGCGCGCCCTCTGGCGCGGGGGGCCCCGTCCTGGCCCGTCCTCCTCCTCCTCCTCCTCCTCCTCCTCCTCCTCCTCCTCCTCCTCCTCCTCCTTCCCGCGGGAGGCGCTGGAGCAGCACGTGGAGTACAGCCTCGGGGCCGCTCGAGACGGGGCTTCGCCTGCGAGGGCCGAAGGGGTTGGCAGCTCTTCCCGGGCGGAGGCCGGCGGCAGCAAGACGAGGGCGGCGCCCTCTGCGGAGGTTGGCGGAAGCCGGGCGGAAGCCGGGCGGAAGCAACATTTGTGCCCTCGAGAGATGGCCTTTTTGGGCTCGGGGCTTCGAAACCGGCCATGTGAGACCGTATGGTCCAGGTGCAGAGAGCATTGCGACAGCATCCGAGGCAGATTACCTACGTCAAACAGTGCGGAAGGTATGCCTCTGAGTGATCGAAGGCGCTGACGGCGAATCACCGCCGCCCCCTGCCCTTCTGGAAACGCTTATGTGGCCAAACGTTGGGCCAACGTCTTGTCAAGCCATTGGACGATGTGCTCCCCGAGCCGTTGTGGAAACCCCAGTGAGGACCGAGCAGGAGGGATCGGAGGAGGGGGTGGAGGAGAAGGGCTCGGGGCGTGGACGTCGAGCCCGCATCTGCGCCGCGGCTTCGGAGGGAGAATCGGCGATTCGGGCGTTGCGCAATGGTGGGCGATCAATGGCTGGGTGAAGAAGGGCGTATGTCCCGGGTTCCTTAGGGGCCCTATCGGGGCCCCGATGGGGCCCCGAAGGGGCACGCTCCCCCGCTCCGCCAGTTATCGCCCCTCCCCTCTCTCCCTCCCCCAGTTATCGCCCCCCTCCCCCAGCTATCGCCCCCCAGTTCCCCCTCCCCCATGAAGCAGCGCCCGAGCGATGGAGCGGCCGATGCACAACACGTCACGCACAACACGTCGCGCACAACACGTCGCGCACAACACGTCGCGCACATGCACGGTGGTGGCGAGCCCGCCCTTGCTCTGATCTTTCCGCTTGTTCCATGTGATCTTGTGACCTGTCTTCGGTGACCTGTCTTCGGAGGATGCTCTTCGTTTGTTTCATGTGGTCCTGTGACCTGTATTCGGTATCTCGGCCGTGCACGCCCTCTTCCCCGCGGCCTCGCCGAGGCTCAGGGAGTGCCCAGGCGCGCTGCGCCAGGCAGCGCCTCCGCCGCTCGAGGCGGGGCGGCGCCGCCACTCGCCAGGCAGCGAGGGCCACCTCCTGGCGAGGGGGTCCACGCTGCCTCCCCGAGCTGGGGACGTCCCTGGCGCCTCGCTCTGGTTCGGAAGCTGGGATATCTCCATGCCAGTGGCGGCTTGTTTTTCAGTCCCAGGACTTTTTGGAGGGTCGGGGACGGCGTCGGGGTGGTGTGGTGCACGCTTGTTTCCCCGCTTTCCCAGGGAAGCAACGAAGAGTGTATACACCAGGGTCCCGTATACGCCAGGATCAGCTTTCCTGTGCGAGGCCAGACAAAGGCGTCGGTGTATAGAGTTCGGCTCTTTACTGGTGACGGCGATGTCGCCCTGCCTGGCTCCTGTGGTCCTGCGACCAGCTGCGAGCCCGACCCCTGCAGGCCCAGCCGACGCTGGGGCAGCGGACGCCGGCCCGCGCCTGGTTCAGGAGGGCAAAAGACACACAGACACAATTGATCGTCGATTCCCCAGAAAATATGGGAAACTATGGGCAGCGGGGGGGAAGACGAAAGCCGAGAAAATACGGGGAAATATAGGGGATCCGGCTATTTGTGTCTATTTATTTGTGCGTCCCAGGGCCCCTTCACTGGCTGCAGACACATCCTCGGGGTCCTGCAGGCCCGCTGGGCGCTGCAGAAGCCCAGCAGGGGTAGGGTTCGCATGCGGTTGCCCGCCCGGCCCGGGTCCGCTCGGAGTCGACCTCCGGAACCGTCCCAGGAGCTCCCCCGACGTCGGGCGTCTCGAAAACATCGAGGCAGAGGTTTTTCGCAGTCTTTGGTTTTTCGGGGCCCTCGCCGGGCCTCGGGACCGTCACAGAACGACTCGCCCTGACTCCGGATCCGCCTTACTTTGGGGAAATTCGTAAGTAGGGCTTGGAATGTCCTCCTTACTTTTCAAGCCCCGCTGATGCCAATTTCCGCCCTACTTTTCTGTTGCTGTTTCCGCCCTACTCCTGTGGATGTTCGCCCTATTGTATGTTGGGTGCAGAAATGTCCGCCCACTTTTTCGGCTTCTTAAAGGTGGATTTCCGATGATGCAATTTTAAGGTGGTTAAAAATCAATGGGCGGATCTGGAGTCAGGGCGGGGTGAAGAAGCGGTCCCAGGAAAGTGGTCGGGAGGTCAGGGGCCCGCGCCTCGAAAAAAATCGAGGCGTCGGATGTCTGGGCCATCCCTGGCCCGCTTTCCGAGGCGGGTCCAGCTGTGGCGACGGGGGTCCCCCCCGGGAGGCCCGAGGAGGACGAAACACGCCATGAAAGGCCGCCGTCGCCTCGCCTGGCTTGCCTCCAGTCCTTGGACGCAGGATACGCCGAGAGCCGCGCTCGCTCGCGCGGCCGCCGCGATGGGCGGCAATCGCGTTCGCTCCCCGCGCGATTTGGGCCACGCTCGAGTCGCGCGGGGGGGGTCGGCCCGCACATCCTGTGCCCTGTTCCCGTGTCTTGTCCCCCTCGGCGCGGAACTCCGCGCCCCCTCTCCCCACAGTTGCGGGGCCCCCCGGGGTCGACAATCGGGCCGAAAACACCTCCCGCTGGGATCTTTCCTCGCGGCGCGAAGCCTGGCAGGGGGAGCTCCGCCGTGGCCTCGGCGGGCCCTCCGCTCGGCCACGGCCGGCGCGAGCCTGGGAGGATCGGAGCGCCCTCTGGCCGCGCCGCCGCGCCGCAGCGCCGCCGAGGTCAGCCCGAGGGTCCGGGCGGCCGCGGTGGAGGTGCTGTGCCGGCGCCCGCCCGCCGCGAGCTCCGCCGAGGCGCGGCGGGGGGCGGGGCGCCACGGCTGCTTGGCGGCGCGCGCAACGGGGGCGGAGGGAGGGTTCTGAGTCCCGAAGAGCCTCTCGAGGTCCCCGAAGTCCTTCCACTGGTAGCCTCGCTCTTCGGATCTCACAAAACCTGTCGTTACTTATTTTCCTGAAAATAAAATCCTTTGATGTGATGATGAGTACCTTCTTGCTCTCTGGAAGCGATTGCGGCCCCGTCGCGCACAAGGGGGTGGAGGGAGGGGGGGCTTCTTAGAAGGAGGCTGCTTCTTAGAAGGCGCCGGCCTTACCTCTGTAGAAAGATGGCGAGGTCTAGCGCAGGTCTGCACAAGCCGTCACTCCGCTGGACCCCCGGGCAGCCTTGTAAGTTAAAGTTGCGACGGGTACGCAGTGAGGGATCGGCGGTGCGGGGGCGGCGGGCGTGCTTCCGCACGACGACGACGACGACGACCACGACGACGAAGACGACGAAGAGGAGGAGTAGCAGGAGGGGGAGGACAACGACGTCGACGACGACGGCGGCGACGAAAAGGAGGAGGAGGAGGAGGAAGACGACGACGACGACGATGACGGCGGGGCGCCCGGCTGCGGAAGGGGTCGGCGGCCCGGGGGCGGGCGTGCTTCCGCTCCTCCGCCCCGCGCAGCCATCGCGCTGCGGCAGGACTGCCGCGGACGGCTTTGGGCCGCGTTCGGCCTCCCAGGACACTCGTGGGGCAAGCGGCTCTCGGGAAGGGGTCCAGACCTTCAGAGGTCCACGTGGACAGCAAATCAGGGGGAGGGAGGGAGGGAGGGAAGGGGGGGAGGGAGGGAGGGATTCAGGGAGCGAGGGAGAGAGGAGAGAGAGAGAGAGAGAGGGAGAGCGCGCCAAAACGTTGAGGAAACAGATTGAGGCCTCCGCCTCCTCGTCCTGCGCGGGCGTGAGACGTGCGTCCTCTTTGGTTACGGACCCTCTCTCTCTCTCTCTCCGGATCTGCGGCTCCGGTTCCCCCGTGCGGAGTTGTCGGCCTCGCCAGATCCGTTCGCGGGATCTCTCGAACGCAGGAGCAGCCCTCCAGAGGCATATTGTCAGGATATTTGGCTTACCACGTCGCTCCGCCAAATCTGGCTCACCACGCTTCGGCGCGACAGGCTGTCCACGTTCCCATCCCCAAGCGTCAGCGTTCCGAGCTGTTCACCGCCTCCCGCCCCGCGGAGCGGAGCGACACGCTATCCACTTGCAAGGCATAGCGTGTCGCCAGGGCCGCCGCGGCGACACGCTATGCAAGAGCTCCTGATCGTAGCCCCTGCCCGACCAATTTGCTGCGCGATGCGTCCACGATGCACATTTGCAAGGCATAGGCGAGGATCAGGATGGCGAGGAGGACGATGGCGAGGAGGATGGGCAGGTGCCCGTTTTCCCTCATCCTCCTACTCACTCCGCCCTCCACATCCTCCTCCACCTCCTCATCCTCTTCCTCCTCCTCCTCCTCATCACCATCATCCGGTGCCATTTTGGCTCAAGTGTGATTGGGGAGATCGCACCTGAGCGGGCAGCTCACTTCAGTGGGCAATTCGGGTGTCGTGCCCGAGCGGACCTTTCTCTCTCTCTCGCTTCTCTCCCACCCGTCCTCGCGCCATGGCGGGCTCTGCGGCCGAGGCGATGGAGCGCGGCATCAAAGAGCTGCTGCTGAAGATGGACTCTATGAGCGCCAGCTTCACAGCAGTTGGGTGGCATCAACACTGCCATCGCGGAGATCCCTGCCATCAAAGCTCAGCTGGTCGATCAGGCGGCCAAGAATGCGACCATCGCCGAACGGCTGGACAAGCTCGAGGCCCAGGGCGTTGCGTCCATCGCCGAGGGCCAGTTTCTGGCGAAGCTCGAGCTCTTGGAGACACGGGTGAGCAGCCTCTCTACTGCGTCTACCTCGAGTGCAGGCAGTGTACATTCCTTTGGGCACGCATCTAATGGTGCCAAGCGTGCTCGGTCCGAAGGACCTTCCCGATTCGGTCGACATGACGATGCAGTTGATGCCTCCTCTCGAGACCGGTGTAAGATCTGGGTCAGCGGCTTTGTCTCTCCGATGCTGGGCTCGATGCTCGAGGAGCACGGCAAGCACCTGCTCGGCCTGTTGCCATCTCATCACACTGCTGGAGCCACTATTCGAGGGTACAACCTCAACAAGTCGTACAGCATCAAGTTCGCCAATGAGAAAGCGGCTGCTGCCTTTGTGGATCACTACCGCTCTGCAGGCATGCAGTACCAGGACCAGGCCACAAACTCCACTGTCAACCTGCGAGTGAGGTTCGACGCCCCAGCCGAGATCCGCGTTAAGAACAAGTACCTGGGCAGGCTCTGGCAGGCGATCACCGAGGCCATGAAGCGCGACGGGAAGTGGAAGACGGACTACTCCATCGGTTCCAACGGCTTCAAGGGCATACTGTACATGAAAGTTGGCGAGTGCTTGTTCGTGCTGTTCGAGCTCATCTCCACGGACCGCAACCAGTTCGTGTGCAAGGCCTTCCCCGACAATCTCTCCAAGTTCGGCATTGACTCGGGTGCCGCAACTGCCATGATCGCTACATCGATGGAATAGGACGTTCCCCTGTCCGAACCGAGGACTGCAGAGTCCCCCGAAGTCAAGGGTAACCCACTGAGCAGCGACGATGAGGGCGGAATGATCATCGAGAGCTCCTCTGATTGTGGTTCCTCATCCTCTTCCTCCTGCCCGTCCAGCCCGTCTTCTGCCAGCCGTGCCTGTTCTTTTCCTGACCAGCACTTCAATTTCACGCAGTACTTCTCTGCCGTTACGTGGAATGTGCAGACTCTCTTCGGATCCGTCTCGTCGCCGATTCAGCCGATCGTCAACGTGATGTCGAAACTTCGCCGCCTCATCTCGAAACATGCCATTATCGCTCTTCAGGAAACACACGGGTCCCAGCAGGACCTCGTGTATCTGAAAAAGGAGACCGAGGGTCTGCACGCGTACGGCACTTTCTTCCCTTGTGGCATCAAAGGTGGTTGCGTTATTATTATCCATCCTCGCTTTGCTTCGCTCTTCCCTCATTTTCAGCATCGTGTTCTTCGGAGGGGCCGCGTTCGCGAACTCTTGCTGCAAGGGCGGCATGGCACTGTGCAGATCATCAATGTGCATCTCGACCCCAGCCTTCCCATCTCCGCTCGTCAACACACACTTCGTTTCATCGAGTCGAGGGCCTTATCATCCTCTGCTGGGGCCTCTCTCGTCTTGGGCGACTGCAATTTCTGTGCTCTTGGGGAGGGGGGGGCGCATATTGGTGGGGAGAATACGTATCACAATCATGGGCTCGCAAAATATTTCGCTCGCCTTTTCCCTGGCCTCGCCGAAGTTTCTCAGCCTGCATGCGCGCATAGGCGCACGCAGATCCATGACAACGTTCGGTCTATCCAGTCCGTGGCGCGCCTTGATAGGCTCTACACAAACATGCATCGTGCGCCCCTGATCGACCTACGGGCCAACTCGCTCACGCTCGCCGCGGCGTGCGACTTGGAGTGGCCCTCCGACCATGTTCCTGTCTGTCTCTCGCTCTCTCCCTTCCAGGCCTCGGGGACTCCGCGGATTGCATCCTGGGTTTGTCGTCATCCTATGTTCCCTCGGGCGATCCAACATATTCTGGATATGGTTCCTCCTCTCTCTCTCCCGATCCCGCTCTTGCTGCTCGCGAATTTAAAGATGTTATCCGTGCCGCTGCCAAGCTTGACCGAGAAGAGCTCGAGCAGAGAGAGGCGGACTCGTTGCCAGAGAAACTCTCGTGGACGCCCGCTGCTCATCGTGCGATGCAAGTAGGGGCGCCATCTCGAATTCGGAGAGAGCTGCGTGCATGCCCTTACTTGTCTCGCTTCATTGATGCCTCCGACCTCGTCTGGAAGGACATGTCTGGCTTCTATGTCTGGCTGGATGGACCAGCTCGCAGCTAGCAATGTCAAGGTTAAGATTGCGGAGGTCGACGCAGACCCGCACATGCACCCTAATACCAAATCCTCTTCCAAGCAGCGTCTTCACGAATATCTTTCGGCCTGGCCTGGAGCTAATCGACGTATTTCCCTCGCCGGTGTCACTGATCCTTCGGGCGAACATATTTCGGATCCGAAAATCGTCGCTGACCGTCTAGCGGAGCGCCGGGGCAATGTGCACGGCTTGGAAGAGGGCTCTTCGGATGCACGTGAGCAGTTAAGCCCTTCTGTTGTTCAATGTCCTGGGCATATTCCATGGAAGATTTGTTTTGACGAGTTTTGCGAGAGGGCCTCCAAGGTTCGAGATTCTGGAGTCGGCCCCGACGGTATTCCTTATTCGGGATGGACCAAATCAGGAACCACAGGCCTTCGACTGCTCCACGCACTTTATCTCTCGCTTCTTCGGGGTGGAGCTCTTTCTACCGATTTCAACTTCTGCCAAGCGATCTTCCTTGCCAAGGACGTGGAGGACGATGACCAGTCGGTTGGGGTTTTCCGCAAGCCTGAAGTAACTAGGCCGATCTCTCTCTCCAGCAGCGACAATAAGTTGATCTCTCGGACTCTGAATTACTCCTTCTCCGACCTGTGTTGCGAAACGGCGATTGGCGTCCAGAGGGGCTTCGTCAAGAATCGGAACATGAACGACAACATTTTGACCCTGGAATCTTGGGCTCTCCAATGGTATTGTCAGATGGGTCTTAGGGGGACGGGGTTCGCCTTCTTCGATGTTCGAGCCGCTTTTCCCAGGTTACTCCATGCTATGATCTGGTGGGTCTTGGGAGCCATGGGTCTCCCTACGTCTATCGTCGATGCTGTGCGTAAGCTTTACCATCGCGTGTGGGTTAGCATCAACTTCTGTGGGCTCCAAGAGGCTGGGTTCTGGGCTCTCCGAGGTATCAAGCAAGGCTGTCCTCTGTCAGGTTCGCTGTTCTGTCTTGGGTTCGACCCGATCCTGCGGTACATGCAGTACCTCTTGCCCCCGCAGCTAGGCGCGTTGGGAGTCTTTGCTG